TCTCCACTGTGAATTCAGCATCAACATTTGGAACTTCTTTGCTAACCTCCTACAAGGACCAAGAGCAAGAAGAGGTATCACACTGAGACAACATTTCCTAGAATGGGGTCTTAGAGCAAATAGTAAGACACAAAGAGGTAACTTGAGAATGGTTATACCTGGTATTATAGCATGGAACATATGGAAAATATACACTGCATCAATCTACAATGAAGATAGCCCTGCTATGTCTACAGCGCTAAAAGGAATTAAAACAACCATTCAGCAATGGAATTGGCTACATAGGAAAAAGAGCTGGATGATCAGAGACCAAGAATTATACGACTTGGGGTTTGAAATCTTCAGCCTCAGTGGGAAGTACTTACATGTGGACAAGATTGGGATTCATAGCAGGCATTCAATTAGGAGGAGGGGAGTCAACGACGATTTCACTGAAGGAATTTCCCCATAGAAGTGAAGACATCTCCAAGATCAATATTCGACCTGGAACTCACCGATGGAAAGATTTAATACCAAACACTCAGCGGAAGAGGAGACAAGAACTGAGTCTGCAGATTGAAATGGATCCTTTCCTAGTTTTGAGATTTGTCTTGTCACGGATTTAATTTTGTTTCTATTGGTTATTTTGATATATTTTGTCCAACCTTCGGGGCTTCGGTCTAGTCCTCCCCGAACGTGTATTCACATTTTTAATTAATATAGCCGGTAAGGGCGGCCTGGACCTTACCCCACCGAGTTTGGTGGTCTCTTTCGGGTTGAAATATATATATATATAGTAGGACTTGGGAAAGTGCATGGCCTACTATTCAGTGGGCCCATTGACATTATACTTCTATACAGTAGAAGGGACAGAATCTGTATCTGTTATTCACATCTCTAAATATGCTTAGCGGCATACCCAACGCATAACTGTACGTCTACCAGTATTTCAGATAGCATTAGTTATGAATCAAAGCATACGGCCCCACATATCAGAGAATGTAATAACTTCAAGTCTGAGGATAGTTATAGCAAGGTCGATTTGAGAATACTGATAAACACATTACTGTAGATCCATGCAGTATTCTCAACATGGGTCAATCCAGTCACATATTATCGATATAATATGCACCTACGTACAGATTAAGATATCACAATACCTATAGTCTATGAGACGCAACTATCTCATCTCGTACGTACTAGTCTTGATACGTTATGACGTC